CTAAAATAAAAATTGAAAAAAAACAAAAGAAAGAAAAGAGAGCCCAGGATGCAATGAAATATATTTAATATCTGTGAATATTCTCAAAGCTTCCTCTTCCCATCACAAATAATAGCCATTGATGATCATTGTCTAGATTCGTGAATTCATTAGGGTTTAATATAGTGGTAATCTAATTCTGTCATTCTTTCTTCAATTTACTTGCTGGAATACTTCTATAAGAGAAAATTCAATGACTTAACCTAATAAAAGTTTGTTTTTTTGCTCAAACAATAGTCCAGTGAGGCTGCTGCTGATGTCTTGACTATACTGGACTCTCCCCTCTAAGCACTAACTCAGATCACTTTCCTCTTGTAATTCTATGCTCTTTTGGGTCTTTTGAATCTTCTCTATTAATTTGGTGAATGGAAAAAAAGAATGGGGGATCAGACATGGCAAGATTTTACAGGCCAGGCCTAGAAGTATTCTTTTTCTACCTACATTCCATTGACTACAACAGTCAGATGGCTGTACCTAACTGCAAGGGAGGCTGGGATATGTAGTTCAACTGTATGTCCAGGAGGAAAGCAGAAATAATTGGGTAAATCGTTAACCAGTTTCTGGCCATATGGCCATAAACTTGAAAATACACAATCAGACATTTACAATTTGTGGTAAATGCTGTAATGTAAAATAATATATATGAATGAGAATAGTTGGCTGGGGGTGGAGAGCTATAATACTTCAGGAAAGTCCTTTGCTATGAGATAATATTTAAGCTGAGACCTAACAAATGAGGACAAGAGTGGTAAGAGAAAGAATGTTCTAGGCATGTATGAAGGTCCTGAGGTAGGAAAGAGCTTAGAGAATCCAAGGACCTGCAAGAAGACCCATGCAGCTAAAGCTGGAAAAGAGAGTTATGAAACAAGGCTAGACAGGTAGGCAAGGCCCATATCATGCAGTGCTCCAAAGAACATGGTAAAGAGTTAGCATTTAATAGCAATAGCAGTGGAAGGACATAATATGATTAGTGTTTTTTTAGCATTTAATGCTAATGGCAATGGAAAGGCACGATGTGGTTAGTATTTCTAACAGAATGTTAAAATAGGACTCTTCCTGACTCACCACAGCTGAGGGCCTAATTACCCCCACATTTCAAAGTGCAGTGAGTCGGATCATGTATAGCAGAATTATGGAAGAAGTGCTGAAACCACTTCTGTGGATCTTCACCCATTTGCCTATCTTAAGGCTATATAGGAACTAAAATTGAAAAGGCCAAGGAGATAGTTGAGATTTGGAAATTCCCATTGAGAGAATCTCCAATGCATTGTGTCTTCCCTATAACCCCATGAAAGATTGGTAGGACAGGTATTTTTACCTTGCCTCAGGTGTGCTAGTGAGGGATGCTCCAAGGAGACCATATGGAAGGTTTGATTTGTAGCCTATGGAGTCCATGGGTCACAGAAATACCCGGTAAATAGCTTACTGTCATCAAAGTAAGAAACTGCATTTGGAAAGTTAACTGGTATTGAGAGTTTCATTGGCAGCTCCAAGGTATGAAATCCTTGGCAGGAATATATACATGTGGTCATTTAAAAGGGAATCATGCTTAAGAGACCTTCTGCCCACACCAGACAACCTTAGCAGAAAGAGGCTGGAGATGTCTTCAGATTCAGTTCACATGTCAAGTTGATCGTGGGGCTGGAGTGGATGTGTAAGCATCCAGCTAAGGTCGAGGCTTTGCCTATTTCAGTGAGCTCCAATCAGAGGAACTTACAGGGACTATCTAGGCTGCGTTTAAAAAAAAAAAAAAGGAGATCGAGACCACCCTGGTTAACACGGTGAAACCCCGTCTCTACTAAAAAATACAAAAAATTAGCCAGGTGTGGTGGCGGGCACCTATAGTCCCAGCTACTCGGGAGGCTGAGGCAGGAGAATGGCATGAACCCAGGAGGCAGAGCTTGCAGTGAGCCCATGCGCCACTGCACTCCAGCCTGGGTGACAAAGCGAGACTCTGTCTAAAAAAAAAAGTCCTGAGAGCAAGAGTCAGCTTTAAACACCTGCCACCTGCCACGGCCACCTGCAACGGCCAGAGTCTAAAAAAAAAAAAAGTCCTGAGAGCAAGAGTCAGCTTTAAACACCTGCCACTGCCACTGCCACAGCCAACCTTGGCTGGCTGAAGTGGCTGAGACAATGAAGAGGAGGAGGCCAGGAGAGAGGAGCCAATCCCACCACAAAGGCTGCCAGCCCAAGCAGGTTTGGGGTTTGGATGGGTGGTAGGGAGAAAGTATTAACTGTAATGAAGTTCAGAAGTTCAACCAACACGTTGAACTGGGCATTTTTATTATTGAAATGAGACTATTTGCGACTAAAAGAGAATTTGTATTAACTGAGAGCGCCAAAAAAATGTCAAGGGACTTGCCCCAGGCGCCAGGAAAGAACCTGTCCTGCAGAGCCGGTTTGATCAGGCTGTTGGGAAGAAAAGAATAGAAGTTGTTTTCTGTTCTCACTTCAAGGTTTCTGGTTCTGTATAAAAGTTACTTGTTTAAACAATCACACTGGTTGCTGTGTGGAAATCAGACCAGAGGATGGCAGGTGTGAATACAAAGGGTCAGTGAGGAGGGGACAGCTGGCTCCTCCACTTCCTAGCTGTGTGATGTTGGGAAAGTCAGTTAAATTCTCTGTGCATCAGTTTCTTCATCTTAAAGTGGTACTAGAATGCTTTATAGGGTTATTGAGAAGCATAAATCAGCTAATGCATTTAAAGCACTTAGAGGGGTACCCGACCCATAATAAGGATTATAAGGTGTTTGCTACTATTTTTATTTAAAAATTCTGATTGTAGCATTGTAAGCCCCAATGTAAGCCCCAATGTAAGACAGTGTTGACTTGGACTACCTTTAACCAGAGAGTGTGAAAAAGCTCATGATGTATTTTAGAATGATATTCAACAGGGCTTTGTGGGGGATGATTTGATATGGAGACTGAGGTAGAGGGAGAGGACAAGAATCACTCCCAGGGTTCTGGTTTGGACATCTGGATGGAATTGAGATGACTGAGGTTGAGGAGGACAAGAATGGTGTGCAATCTTAATAGAGATTCCTGGTTACTGATGCTTTAAAAGCTATGCATTTTATTTTATTTTTTAGAGACAGCGTCTCACTATTATCTGGGCTGGAGTGCAGTGATGCAATCATAGTTCACTGTAGCCTCAAGCTCCTGGGCTCAAGTGATCCTGCCACCTCACCCTCTAGAGTAGCTGGGACTACCGGTGTGTGCACATGTCTGGCTAATTTTTGCATTTTTTAAATTGTAGAGATGGGTTCTCACTATGTTGCCAGGCTGGTCTTGAACTTCTGGACTCAAGCCATCCTCCCGCCTCGGCCTCCCAAAGTGTTGGAATTACAGACATGAGCCACTGTGCCTGGCCAAAAGTCTGTGGTTTAATAGCATTGAAAGCTCTGAGCATCACAGGAGTGATTTTTCTGAAATGTAAAGGCTCTAAAACAAAGTACTTGTTTTGCTTGGTCACCTTCTGATCCTTTGTCCCACTCTTTTAGATAATGGTGTGGGGGGAGTCTAGGTAATTATAGGCAATCAGTCCTTGCCTAATAAACACTGTTAGAAAATAAATGGCGGCCGGGCGCGGTGGCTCAAGCCTGTAATCCCAGCACTTTGGGAGGCCGAGACAGGCGGATCACGAGGTCAGGAGATCGAGACCATCCTGGCTAACACGGTGAAACCCCGTCTCTACTAAAAAATACAAAAAACTAGCCGGGCGAGGTGGCGGGTGCCTGTAGTCCCAGCTACTCGGGAGGCTGAGGCAGGAGAATGGCGTGAACCCGGGAGGTGGAGCTTGCAGTGAGCTGAGATCCGGCCACTGCACTCCAGCCTGGGCAACACAGTGAGACTCCGTCTCAAAAAAAAAAAAAAAAAAAAAAAAAAAGAAAATAAATGGCATAATGTTAACAGTTCTAAAACTAAAGTTATTGTATTTGACAGATGTCTTCTAAAATTGTTGTATGTCTAATAAATTTAGTAAAAAATATATTTATCCAGTGGGGACTGCAATACAGGCCTTTTTTTTCAAAAGCACACACATAAATGTACGGATAAAATTTTAGTACTTATGTTTTAAATACCTTGAATGGCTTGTCACCTTACCTTTGCTATTGTAAGTTGATCTTTGAAACTAGGTAACAGCCTGATTCCCATCCTAAAGATATGCTGTGGAGATATAGAAACACTGTCCTTTGATATTAATTCCCTGTTTTCTTCCCTACCCTCCTGGGATAGAGTGTTGAGAATCAGAATTTCTCTTTCACCTGAGGTCTTGCCAAAAGCTATCTTTGTTACCCCCTCCTGGCTTGCTAGGGGTTGTGGAAGAGCATTTATATTAGATGCTAGGGCTGACCAATGAATAAGTGGCTGAGGGCCATTTTTAGTCTCAGTCTTTAAATTTTGTAGAAACTATAAAAGTGACTCAAATAACTCTTTGTAGATTTGCATATCCCCTCATCAGAACTTTCCTCTTAGTTGTCTTTTTTGACAGCACTCCACTAGGAAAGGCTAGGTCCTTCAGGGCTCTGTGATTGGGAAGAGCAGGGTGTTCTCTGAGACCTTGGTGTCCGTGGTCACACCACCCACCTGGCCTGGGGCCTCATCTGGCTTAATGACTACAGTATTCTTGATGTAGCAAGTATTCTTTTAGGTAAAAATAATAAATCTGCAGTTTAGTGACAGATGTTTGGTTTGGCATGTTACTCTTGCTTTTGGCAAACTCATACAATGGCGAAGCCAATCCACATGATCCAGAAGGGAGAAAATAAGATCAAATGTTAAAATACTATACTAATCCCCTAGCAGATAACAGATGGATGGGAGAGGAGGCCTTGGCTTTCAAACAGTGACTATCTTAGATAATAGAGGAAAAATTTGAAATCCATACAGGTACATATCAGGGAGTTAAAGTGCCTAAAACCAAATGTTTAATGTTATTATATCTCCTTTTATTTTTATAGCCATAGTGATCAATTGGTAACATCAGCTTTGAAAATTTCCAAGGCCAACGTCATCTCAGTTATGAGGTATGGTACTTTGGGGAATCTATTGGATGTTTGTTTACGTACTAGAGTGAACCTAGAACTGCTTATTCCTTTGCTTCTTTAAAAATGTATTTTCTAAAGTCAGCTGATTAGCAAAAAAATTGAAATAAAATTTATTGTCTTTTAATTTTCATCAAAGTAATATGTATACATAGTAAAAATAAGGTAGTGCTGAGGAGTTTGTACTGAAAAACAACAGCTGTCTGCCACACTTCCCAATCCCACTTTTCAGAGGAAAACCACCTCCCTTTTTTGATTAAAAAAAATTGCATTTTTTTTTTGAGACAGGGTTTTACTCTGTTGCCCAGACTGGAGTGCAGTAGTGTGACCATGGCTCACTATAGCCTTGACCTTCCAAGCTCAATGGATCCTCCCCCTCGGCCTTCTGGGTACTGGGACTACAGGAGTGTGCCCCTGTGCCTGGCTAATTTTTTCATTTTTTGTAGACACAGGGTTTCGCTGTGTTGCCCAGGCTGGTCTTGAACTCCTGGGTTCAAGCGATCCTCCCACTTCTGCCTCCCAAAGTGCCAGGATTATAGGCGTGAGCCACCGTGCCTGGCCAAGATTAAAATTTTAATCACTGATTTTTATCCCTTTATTCCTTTAAACTGCCTCCTGCAAAGTTACAACTGCAAGTAATTTGGTGTGTATCTTTCAAGACTTTATTTCTATGTGTTGTACTTATTCTCTATAATAAAAACAAGGATTTAGCTACCCTCTCCCAGTTTTTGATAGTTATTATTATAGTTTTATTCTTAGTTGCTTTTATACCTTTAAATAATACACTTAAACCTCTAGCTTTTGTCCCATCAGCCATATATAATACCTCTTGACGCCCAAGCTGTATTTATATAATCATGATTATTTATTGGGTACTTACTATGGTGACAGGCACTGTTCTAAGTGCTCAGTGAACGAAACAGAGCTCTCAGGCTCATTGGCACTTACATGGTAGTTGGGGGTAGGGTTGTTCAGATACAGAAATTATATAGTAGACATCAATACATTCAACATAGAAAAAAAGTAAGACAGGAAAAGATAGTTCAGGAGTCTGGAAAGTGGGGATAATAATTTTAAATCGGGTGGTCAGATTTAACTTCACTGAGAGATGACGTTTGAGGAGACACAAAGGCAAGGAGGATATTATTCACGCGAGCATTTTAGGGAAGAGAGTTGCAGGCAGAGGCAACAGCAAAGGCCCCAAGGAAAGAGTGTGCCTGGCACATTCAAGGATTGCAGGTGGCTAGTAGGGCTAGAATGGAGTGAGCAAAGGGCAGCGTGGTGGAGGATGAGGTCAGAGAGATAACAGGGTGAGATGATATAGGACCATGTGGATCAATATAAAGAATTTTTGCTTTTACTTTGGGTACAATGAGAAGCCATTGCAAAGTTTTGAGCAGAGGAGTGACCCAGTCTTACTTGTGGATTTGTATAGCTTCCATGTTGAGAACTGTAGGAAGGCATAGGGGGAGGTAGGGTAGTAGTCGGGAGGCTCTTACAGTCATCAAGACAGAGATACGGGTAGTACTGATCAGGAGGTACTCATGGAGTTGGTGAGAAGAGGTCACATTCTGGAGATACGCTGATGAGACTATTGGCCCTTTTCTCCTTTCTTCCACCTTCTACCCTTCCACCTACCATAATATTCTGTCAAGTATATATATATTTTTTACTTTTGAAACAGGGTCTTGCTTTATTACCCAGGCTGGAGTACAGTGGCATGATCTTGGCTTACTGCAACCTCCACCTCCTGGGCTCAAGCAATCCTCCTGCCTCAGCTTCCCAAATAGCTGGGACTACAGGCAAGTTCCACCATGCCTGGCTAATTTTTGTATTTTGTATAGAGATGAGGTTTCAGCATGTTGCCCAGGCTGGTCTCGAACTCCTGAGCTCAAGTGATCCGCCCACCCTGACCTCCCAAAGTGTTGGGATTCCAGGCATGAGCCATCAAGTCTGGCCTAGACTTTTGTTTTTATGTTTTCAGAGTTAATGCTAACTTCTTTCTTTATTGTAACCCATCTTTTATGTGTTGCTTAGTTTGATTCTGGGAATTAAAAATCAATATAACCCCCCAATTTATGTTATTATGACTATTTAATTAATATTCATTTCATAGGCAAATAATATGCCAAAATTACACTTCTTTTTTTATAGGTCCAAGACCATGACCTCTGGGCTCTTTGAAGAAAGATATTCTAGAGTCTAAATTAAATAAATTCTCTTTTATAATTACAGAAATTGCTGAAAATTGTGCCACATTTTAGCTGGCTTCATATTTGTATCTTGACTTTTCTATATAATTCTTGTTTTTTTTTCCCTGGAATTTCCAATTATCTTTCTTTAATCTTGCTGAGAGAAGAAACATGTTTTCTTCGCCATGTCACTGATATCATCTATTTCCACGGTCATGCTATTTTTTTGTGTAAACTACATTTCATTTTTCTTCCTGAATATAGTATCAATGTTATACTTGAGACCCAGTGACTCCCTCTTCTGATTTAGATTGTTCTGTAAACCCCATGCACAGCTGTCACTCCGAAATGACTTTTCATTCTACTCCTGAATGAGTTCTACTCTTTCTTGTATTCCATATCTTCCTTTTTGTTGGTTTGCACTTCACTTCTCTGGAATATCTCCAAAAGTATCTTCATCAGAAAAAACAGATGGGAGATGAAATTTCTGAGTACTTGAAAATCTGAAAATGTCTTTAGTATGCCTTCACATTGATTTATAGTTAGGTAGAGTACAACATTCTATATTCAAACATTTTTTCCCTTAAGAACTGTGAAGGAATTGTTCCACTGTCTTTAGCATGGAGTATTACTAATAAGAAGCTTGGGCCGGGCACAGTGGCTCACGCCTATAATCCCAGCACTTTGGGAGACTGAGGTGAAAGGATCACTTGAGCCCAGGAGTTCACAACCAGCCTGGGCAACATGGCAAAATCCTATCTTTACAAAAAATACCAAAACTGGGTGTTGTGGCTCGTGCTTGTAGTCCTAGCTATGCAGGAGGCTGAGGTGAGTAAGACCCCGTCTTGGCAGAAAAAATAAAAAGAAGCAGCAGCTTGATGCTGGTGTATTATTGTTCCTTGGTAGGTGACCTTTATTCTCTTCCTTTCTAGAGTCTTCCCATGTTCATTGCAACACTATTCACAATAGCCTAGATGTGGAAACAACCTACATGTCCATTGATAGATAAATGGATCAAGAAACTTTGGTATATACATAAAATGGAATATTATTCAGTCATAAGAAAGGAAATCCAGTCATTCGTGACAACATGGATGAATCTGGAGGGCATTACGCTAAGTGAAATAAGCTAGTTGTCCATTTCTATGGCAGGGAGTAGAATGGTGGCTGCCAGGGACTGAGGGAGGGGGAAATGGAGAGGGCTGTCCAGTGGGTATAAAGGTTCAGTTATGCAAGATGATTAAGTTCTAGAGGTCTGCTGTATAGCATTGTGTTTACAGTTAATAGTACTATAAACTTAAACTTTTTTCAGAAGGTAGGTCTTATGTGTTCTTACCACAGTAAAGAAATTAATTAATTAACTTAAAAATCTCTTAATATTTAATGTTCCAAGATTTCATAATGTGGTGTCTAGTTGATCTTTTTTTCATTCATTTTGCCTGGCACTCATTTACGCCCTTCACTGGTAATAGTTACATCTTTCTTTAACTCTTGATGAGACATATATATATATATATATATAGTGTGTGTGTGTGTGTGTACCCACATACATACTATAGCTTTAAAAGATGTTTCATTCCTTGTTTTTTTCTTTTTGGAACTTCTATTTGCTGGATATAGGATCTTCTGGATTTATTCTCTTTGTTTCATCTTTCTTCTGACATTTTCTCTCTTTTCATCTTTTGCTTTATGTTGTAGAGGTTCTAGGCTGTCTTTCAACCCTTCTGATTTTTAAAATGTCAGCAATTATATGCTTAATTTCCAAGAACTCTTTCTTCTTTTGGATTTTTATTTTGGTTTGTGTGTGTGAAGTCAGGATAGGGTGTAGGAGTATCCAGTCGTAGTTTCTTGGAAGCAGTATCTTTTCAAATGTCTCTGAGATCACTAATTAAAACTTTAATATTTTCTATTCCATAGATAATCTCTGTTCTTTTCTTAGGATAAATACTGTTTATCTTGGTCTTTCTCTTTTGTGTTGCTTGTTTTCTTTCTTGTGATCTTTAGTTGTCCATCATATTTCAGAATGAGACTTCTAAGTAACTTTTAGGAGTTTCTTACTGTGATATATACAAGTCTGTTTACCCATGGGATATCTGCCAGTAGTTGGGAGCTCTGTGTACATGGGTGGTGGACGCGGGGTGGCGGGGGGATTGGTGCGGATAATTGATTGTGGTAATGCTAGTTATATAAATTTCAATGGCTTTACATAACAGATGTTTGTTTCTCATCTGTATTGTGGTCCAGTGCTTGATTGGCAGGTGGCTTCTTGCATGTGGTGATTCAGAGACCCAGGCTCTTTCGCCTGGCACTACTAGCATCTCTGCAGGCTTTGGTGCCTTCTGCCTCTGGCTGGCAGAAGAGTAAATAAGAAAGTGCAAAGGCACATCTACTTTCTTAAAAGCCCTGGCCTGTAAGTGATACATATCACTTCTACTTATATCCCATGTAGCTAAATGACTATATTGGAATGCAAGCAAGGCTGGAAAATATAGTCCCTGGCCTGGAAGTTACCTCCCACAAGAGGCATCACAGTAAGGAATGAGGAACACAAATTTTTGTCACTCACTTCTAGCCATTGCTTTTGAAAGTAGACTTATGCACTAGTCGTGTTCATTTTAGGGTTAGAATGCTGGAGCCTTTTAGTTTTTGTAGGGAGGAATGGTGTTACAAACCAGTTTACTCAATTTTTCAAGAAAAGAAACTTTTTTTTTTTTTTTTTTGTGGCCAGGTTTCTATACTAGTTGGTATTCTGTGTATTTAGGAGTGGGAGAGGAGGGTTGGGAGTGTAGG